GTCCACCGAGTTGTGTCCGTGCGGACGGCGGTGGTCCACCTTTGTTGGCCGTCGCGAATTCGAAGGAGGGCGGGAAACGAGAAAAAAACAAAACCGGGGCCCTTGGAAATGGCGCGCAGCGCTCCTGTTCAAAATTTGAAATTTGAAATAAGGCTTTGCGATCGGCGGCGCGTGGAGGACGTACGTTTCACGCCTGGTTGTGTCTGCGGCTGGCGTTCGTGGCGTTCGCGGCGTTCGCATAAGTGACGATTGTCCCCTGCGGTTGTCGTCGATGAGCACGGTCGTGTACGCGTTGGCGGCAAGGGGAGACGACATCGATACGTGAGCATTGGGAAAGGCAGACGACCATCGTCAGTGCGTGGCTCCCAAGATATTGCACAGCCACCGACGCTGTGATCTTCCGCGTGGCGGTGTTTGTGGAGTCCAGTGGTTTGATTGACATGATGTCATCGGAAGCGGCGTCTGGGATGGACGTTGACGGCGGGGCAGGGCGCGGCAGTTTGACGACGGCGGAGAGGACAACTATTGCTGCGGTGGTTAATGTCGTCCTCTTCCGCTGCCAGATGGCGAGCAATGACGCGAACTTCAAAGCGGCTGTTCGTGCACGGCGCAAGCTGTTGGCGCTTCCGACGACTGAAAGTGCTTGGATGTGGCTGCCATTTCTGACGCGGTGCTGGAGGTCGGCTACGCGATGGGGTGTGGGGGGTTTCCAAGGGTGACTCCACGGTGGTGGGTGAAGCGGCGAACGGGCGGCACGTGGGAGGATCTGCGGCAATGTGATGACGCAACGGATAATTACTTCAAGGAGAAGCTTCGAATGTCGCCTCATGTTTTCCGCGAGATCGCGGAGACTCTTTCCCAACTCCTTCAACGCCGTGTGACGTTCTACAGGGTGCCTTTGCAGCCAGACCACATCATTGCCTATGCACTGTACAGGTGGGCCACGGGGGAGACGTACGACAGCGGGACGTGTAGCTTCGTCATCGGGAGGGCTTCCGGCATCACGGCGGTGCGTGACGTCACGGCGGCGTTGCTGACTGCTTACCCCGACCAGATATCATGGCCCACAGGTTTGCAGAAGGCGGTCGTGTTGCGCGCCTTCGCTGACAAGGGGTTTCCAAACTGCCATGGGTGCATTGACTGCACACATATCTACATCGACAAACCCGCAAACGCCAACGGTGAGGACTACTGCGACAGAAGACGTCGATTCTCCGTGCAGGCGCAAGTGGTGGTCGACATGAACTTGCGTGTGCTGGACGTCTTCGTCGGTTATCCGGGGAGTGTGCATGACATGAGGATGCTGAATCTGTCGAGTTTGTGGGTGCGCGCGGAGTCAGGACAACTTTTCACTCGACCGCATGTGATGCTGCCTTTCGGTGTGCGGACTAATGGCTACTTGCTCGGCGACAACGGTTATCCGCAGTCGGAATGGATAGTCATCCCTTACGGCGGTCTCGCGCAACACCCGACGGAGGCACGCTTCGACAACAAACAGAAGACGGCCAGGGGAGCAGTGGAGAGGGTGTTTGGCAGACTGAAGGGGATGTGGAGGTTGTTCCTCCGCACCCACAAGTGCAACATGGACAGCTTGCCGCAACAATTCGTCGCCGTCCGCATCCTCCACAACATACTCATCGACGCCGGCGTCCCGTTTGACGACAATCTGTTGTGGGAGGTGGGTCCAGACGGCGTGCGTCGTAGAGTGGATCTGGGGATGCATCAGCCATTGAGGCCAGTGTGCATGGAGTCTTCGACGGGGGATGCGCTGATATTGAGGGACGCGTTGGCGGAGCGGATGATTGCGCAGTGAGGCTGGCCGTGTTCGCAGTTGGAGACCCCGCCATGAATGGAACGAGTCTGAGGGACGAAGCTGTGAGAAGCAGGGGTGCACGGAGGAGATCCGGTAGCGGGAGGAAGGGGAGGTGGCCGTCCCACAGCAAGAGGCGGTCGACGATGGCAGTCCGGCCGTGGTAGCGTCGTTCGAGCGAGATGTGGCTGGAGTGTCTCGCGTGGTCGGTGCGGTTAGTTGTCCAGTGTTGAGTGGCGATGACTGGCTTATGTACGCTATCGCTTGGTTTTTAGTTGCTTTTTTTTTGGTTTTTTTTTTTTTTTTTTGCCTTGTCCATGGGCAGGGACTACGGGCAGGTTAGCGTTATTGTTCGCTCAGGTAGTGTAGTTGGTGGTTGCGGATATTGCCGTTAGGCGGGTGCGCGTGGCGGGGTTGCACGTGCCATGCGTGCAACGTGCAGTACTTGTGATGACGGGGGACAACGGGCGAGAGGGGGGCGGGTGGGGTGAGGGGTTTGATTGTAAACAATGCAACGTTGCTGGTACATGGAAATGCTTTCGCATTCTAAGGGGAATCCCTTTTTGAGATTTGAGTTTTCTTCGCTCACAACAGTGTATGCAAAAAACAGTTCATTCCGCATTTCTCTTGTTGCTATGTTGAAGGGAGCTGCTATTGCATGGGTTTGCAACACAGTTGTTTTGGTCCTTCGTTTCGAAGATTGTTCACCGCTTGTATTTTTTTATTTTGTATTTTTGTTTTATTTTTGTATATTTTAAATTTTGCTCTTTTTTTTTTTTATTATTAAAAAACGAGGCGGAAGGATGGATTGGAAATGGCGCGCAGCGCTCCTGGTTACAAGTGCGGTGGCAATGCATCATACCCAACCCGCTGGGAGGCCCTGCCAACGGTCGACAGGCTCCCCCCACACCGCCTACCTCCGACCTGCTCCCCACCGAACCGGGGGATCGCCTGCCGCGCCTCCATCTTGGCATCCTTCATTGAAGACCTTCTTTTGCGTCGACGCGGCGGCACGTTCCCAAGGATGCACACGCGGAAGAGAAACCACGAGGAGCAGCAACAAGACAACGAGGATCAGCAGCTGCAGCCTGCGGAACACGTCAGCCACGAAACAATCGACGACGATGGCAGCAAACGGAAGACAACGCAGGTGCCAACATAACAGCGGAGCGCAGTGCTGCAAACGGCCGTCCCGACTTCGCAACAAACCCCCGAGGACGTCTTCGGTCTCCCACGCTCAGTGCGTAATTGGGAGCTGGAGTGCGGCCTGAAATATTCGTATCTGCCGACCGTTGGGACATTCCCGCGGATTGCCAAACGCGACGACGCAAGAGGGCACCTTCTGGACGTGGTGGATGCCGGTTGCCCGCAAACGGTAACCGTTGGAGTGAAGCCGATTGTTGGCGACCCAACATATCCGTCGAGACACAGGCAGGACCACCGATGGACCAGAGGGAATTGAAAAATGTCGTCGAAGGAGCTGCCGTCGACGCCCCGATTCTTCCGGAAGCTCGACCTCCGAGGGACCTCGGGAGGTCCCTTGGAGAAATCGCCAAAATGGTTGTGGCCCCGAGGAATCCCCGAGGAATCCCCGAGGAAATGTTTTCACATTTTCTTTTCCGCGTCTTCCCCGAGGATGAGTGGAACGAGCATTTCCTTGGGGAATTTCGGGCCCCGAGGAGTGTCGAACGAGCCCCTTAGACCCCAGCTCCTTTTGTTCGAATGAACAGTCTGACAGCCTGTTCGTTTTGGCGAATGGGCTGATTCCGAGCGGCTGCGCTAGCGCTAGCGCCCCACAGCAGACCAACCGACACGGCCCGGTTGTCTCTGATACGACTAGTACCCGGGGAGGAGGGCCCCGGGCTGCTAGGCCTGTGTGCACGCCCGGCAGAAACGCGTGGACCTCTCATTGCCACGTGGCATCTGCTGTATGCACGAGGACGTCCGGGACGCACCGGCAGGGGTAGCGCCAGCGGTGATTATTGACGACAAATGGCAATATGTGGCACAACACTCCGGATGAAGGAAGGAGATGGAGTTAGCGTCTAGCTGGGTCGTTTAAAAAAAAAAAAAAAAAAGGAAGGAGATGGAGGGGGAGCTACAATATGGGTCACCTCGACTACAGGATACGCACTTTGATGATGAAGGTGATGTCTCGCCTACAGAAGCTTCTGAAGGTGAGCAACATGATGATCGAAAGGTGCTCCGCTATTATGCAAATATTTGTGTTGTGTGTGAGACCTGGGATTCTGCAAGAGAGATGACTCGTGTTGCTCATGTGCTTGAGTGCGATGGTATGAGAGGGGGGCAGAAGAAGGGTGGGGTAATTTGATGGCACCTCGACTACAAGATACGCACGTTGATAATGAAGATGATGTCTCGCCTGCAGAAAATTTTGGAGGTGAGCAAGATGATGGTCGTGATGTACTCCGCTATTATGCAAATATCTGTGTTGTGTGTGACAGCGGTGATTCTGGACTACAGGATACGTACTTTGATAATGGAGGATGTCTCGCCTACAGAAGATCTTGATGGTGAGCAAGATGATGATCACGATGCGCTTCGCCACTATGCAAATACCTGTGCTGTGTGTGAGAGCTGGGATTCTGAAAAAGAGACGGCTCGTGCTGGTGTTGTGCTTGAGTGCGAGGAGTATGAGGGAGGGGCAGAAGGACGGTGGGGTAAACTGATGGCACTCTCTAACCAGGTTGAGGATGAGAGTGCAGTTGGCGAAGGCAAGGGAGAGAGGGATTATGACGATGATGACGCGGGTGAGTGGGAGGTCGGGGATAAGAGTGGATTTGACGATGGAGAGGGGGAATACGCCACTTACGACACAGCGAAGTGGGAAGGGGAGTGGGGGCTAGTCGCAACGGTCGAAATGGCGGCAGCGGCAACGGCAACAGGTACAACAACAAGAGGGGAGGTGGAGTAGGGGTTGGAAGAGGAGAGACAGGGTATGGGTGGGACTGGCGAGAAGGGTGGGAAGGTCGACAACAACAATGCCAATTACAACAACGACTACAATAACAATAGCATCTTCATGAACGGTTGCGAGTGTAGCATGGGCGAACTGGGTGAGATAGGTGTGATGGAGGATAACAACAACAACGATAACGACAACGACAACGACAACAACAACAACAACAACAACAACAACAGCAACGACGACACCAACGACATGGAGGGGAGGGGAGAGAGCGCTGATAACGTTGATAGCAGCAACAACAACAACAAAGATGGCGAAAACCATGAGATGGCTGAGATCTCCGTTCGTTCCCTCTGCTGAACAAATCCACACGCACCAACAATTCGTCCCCCAACCCGCATAAGCACCCTCCCCCTGGTAATTTATGTCCCCCCCAATCCATCTTCTCGAAGGCTCACGTACCGGTCACAATGAAGCTAGGTTATCTGAAGGGCAAGGAGTCCGGGTCCCTTTTATTTTATCAAGGCGCAATGCGCCACAACACGCTCAGACAACTGGGATCCAACCCCTATAATCGCCCTGCAATCAATTACACCAGCACAATGACGAGCAACTCAAAAACATTGGGGATGGGGGCAATAGCAGCTATGCAAATAGATTCCCCACGAAATGAGCAAGAAAATCAGGAAATCAAGACACAAAATGGAAGAGTCAATGCTCCGGGATCCATCCTCTCCCCACCAGGTCCTTCGA